TACAGTGCCGTACAAAATTATTAGCTCTGAGAATTTTTCATCTGATCTTTTAAAAAATGTTGAAAATGTAGCTTTTTAGCCAATTAAGAAAGCAATTTTGTTTTTGTTGACAGTGTATTCCATACAAGGAGAATTGTAGAACGTAGTTTGTATAGAAGAAACTGGCAGCAAAAAAAATTTAAAAAAAAATCAACTAAAATTCTGGGCTACAAAACTTAATTTTCAAAACTTTGTTGTTGTTGTTGTTTTTATTGTGTTGGATTAACCAAATTGCCCCGGTTTGGCAACGGAGATATCTGGCAGCCCTAGCTAAAGGGCTATATGCCCAAAATCATTGCTACGTGTTCCTATTTAATTAAACTTCGTATATTTATTAAGTCCTGCAAAATTGGACCATTTAATATCGATATTAACACATTTTTCAGCATTGTTTACATAAGCGTTTAAGCGTTTTGGCATTTATCTCTCGCAATTGCTCCAAGATGACGTCACGCAAAAATTACGCTCAAAAATCCTTTCTCAAGGGCGCGATCTTGTATTTTATCATTCTTGCTTTCTTTATACCGGCTAGACCGATTTGGTTCATATCTGGAACATGTGTCAGCACCTAGAAAAGAAATATTCTGACCAAAAATGCACTCGCTAGGTGGCGCTAGGGTCGGAATATTCCTAAAAACTGCATTTTCTTGCCGATCTGGCTAATATTTAGAATACAATTTAGCCAATTGAAAATAAATATTTGAACTTAAAACTTACACGATAGGTGGCCATGTGGCCGAGATATCGCCAAAAATTATTTTACGCTAAGAGAAGAATAGATATATGTACTATATATTTGTAGAAGTATGTATGTATGTATGTGGCAGGTTGCAGCCTAAACGGATGGGCAGAATCGAACGAAATTTTGACAGAGGATTGCTATGTCACCTGGGCCTATAATAGGGAGAAACAAATTGGGATTCGATAATGAGGCGTGGCACCTCCCATAGGCGTGAAATTTTTTATCAGCTCTAACTTCGGAACCATAAGTCACATGAACTTGAAATTTGGTATGCAGGCGTAGCTACGGTAGGTGCTCATAGTAAGGTGTATGTGAATCAGTTTATAAAAGGGGGCGTGGCACATCCCTTAGACGTGTAATTTTTTATTAGCTATAACTTCGAAATCATAAGTCACATGAACTTGTAATTCGGTATGCAGACATATGTAGAGTAGGTGCTTATAACACGTTATATATAAATGAGTTTGTGCAAGGGAGCGTGGCACATCCCATAGGCGTGGGATTGTTTATCAGCTATAACTTCGACACCATAAGTCACATGAACTTGAAATTTGGTACGCAGACATATCTATGGTAGGTATTTATACTAGGGTATATATATGTAAATAGATGTTGGTAAAAGGCGGCGTGGCACATCCCATAGGCGTGGAATTTTTTTATCAGCTATAACTTCAACACCATAAGTCACATGAACTTTAAATTTGGTATGCAGACATATCTATGGTAGGTACTTATAATAAGGTATATACGAAGGAGTTCGTAAAATGAGGCGTGGCACATCCCATAGGCGCGGAATTTTTTATCAGCTATAAACCAAATTTCAATCTCCTGGGGCTAATGGTTCCGAAGTTATATCTGATAAAAACTTCCACGCCTATGGCCTTTTACAAACTCATTGGTCGAAACCATAAGTTACATGAACTTTAAATTTCGTATGCATGCAGGTATAGAATGGTAGGCGCTTATAAAGAGATATATGTATATAATTGAGTTTGTAAAAGGCCATAGGCGTGGAAGTTTTTATCAGATATAACTTCGGAACCATTAGCCCCAGGAGATTGAAATTTGGTTTGCAGGTATATCTATGGTAGGTGTTTATAGTAAGGTATATATAAATGGGGTTGTAAAAGGGGGCGTATCACATCCCACAGGCGTGGAATTTTTAACGAACCATAATTTAAGAGCCATAAGTCACATGAACCAGAAATTTGGTATGCAGACATATATATGGGAGGTGTTTAGAATAAAGTATAAATAAATGCGTTTGTAAACGGGGGATAAATATGTATTCAACTATTCTCTACTCATACTCAACTATAATCCACCTTATCTTAATAATGGAATAAGGTTTTTAGTACAGAAAGTGATGATGAATACAGAGCAAAACTGTAACATGGTGTGACGCTATCTTTCCAAGTTCTAACGACTTTCAATACTTTTGTTGTATATTCTTGTTGGTACATCCCTACTCCCTCTCTCATAACGATTTGAAGTCAATACAACAACAATAAAAAAACAGCAGACAAATATGTAAATTAAGGCAGATGTTACAGTTTTGCACTCATATATTTTTAAGAACTTTTTAACAATTTTCACAATGTTCAGTACCCTTTTGCTTGTTTCAGTTCCTGGATGCGATTTGGCATACCTTATTTGTATTTCTGTAAAAATTCTGGAGGTATATCCTTAGTTTGCTTTCACAGCTCATGTACTCGATTTTACGGACTTTGATACTTATTAAGCTGTGCTTTTAGTTGATTTCGCAAATTCTCGATGAGATTCATGTCCGCGGATTGTGGAGGTCATTTCAAATTAGCAAATTTTTGCTTTGTATCCCGGCTTTGCGAACATGTGCAGTGTGTTTTGAGTGATTTTTCAGCAGAAACTCTCAATTTTTCGACTACATCTTGCAAATTTTGTTGAAATATGAACAGATACTGTTCCTTACGCATAATGCGTACTAACGGACCAACAAAATTTTTGAAATACAACCCCAAACTGTTATTGACCGACCACTGTGATTCACAGTTTGCCTTACATGATGCGCTTAGGCTCAATTTGGGTCTTTGATCCAATACCATGCCGGGCCATCTGATTGAAAGCGATTAATTTAGTCTTGTCAGACCAATTAACCTTCAATTAAATCTCAAAAGTGTATTTTTTTACCCAAGCCGCAGAATCCAAGAAAACAAAAATAACGGACTTCTATCTGCCGGAAATACAAGCAACCAAAAACCACCTACCTGCTAGATAACGGAACATAAACTGAACCAAGCACAAAAACCAGGAAAATAAAAAGAAACGGATTTCTACCCAGCGGGGAACACAAGCAACCAAAAAGCGCCTACCAGCGAGATAATGAAACAAAAATTAACGCACTTAGCTTGATATGCCTGACCTAATGGCAGTTAAAACGGAGAATAACACGAATACAAAAAAGTGGAAAGAAACAGCAACCACTCGGACCGAAAAATGACACTGAAGATGGCACAACGCCGAAACTCTGTTGGATACACAAACAACCAAAAAGAACTTACTTTAAATTTGTTTTAAGCTGAAAGAAAAAAATGGGTTATGCCACAAAAAAAGGCCGTATGTGGTAAACATAATTGCAGCGGATAGCAGTTAACGCGCTGACGGGTACCCGCTGTCATAATTAGAACACATTGAATGGCATGAAATGGCACAGAATTGCGGCGGGGACGGATTTGTGCCATCGGTTAGTATTACGGCGGGAAAATTCTTAGATTTCTTTTTATTTTACCCGCCGGGTCGTAGACTCAGAGTTGCTTTTCTGAACTTTTCATGTCAATGGCCCAAACACACACGAGAGTAATTATTTGTATTTTACCCGCCGGGTCGAAGACTCAGAGTTGCCCAAAACACACGAGAGCAATTATGCATGAGATGAATAAAAGCAGCGTAGAAAAATGGATGCGTGAATAGCGGTTTGTATGTGTTAGTGACATTTGACCCTGATTTGTTCTTGTACTAAGTAATCGCAGAATCAAGAATGCAGTTTAATGCATGCACAATTATTCTCGTGTTTTTTTTTACTTTTTACGTATCAATAGAGTTAACTGTTCCGTCGCAATTGTGTTTACCCGACCGAATTTTCCGACTGGAGTGGATCAGCTGTTCGCCACCCGTCAGCCCGTTACCCTCTATCCGCTGCAATTCTGTTTACCACATAACTGGGGCATATTTAAATGTTTCATTAGCTAATGAGGCCTTATTTTTCAACTCTGAGAAGAAACATTAATTAACAGATTTAACGATCATTAGTTAAGTGCCGTTATAGCTATTGAATGTCTCTGAGACCGACAGTAAGTACGATAAATTTTTTATGCTTATAGAAAATCTTAACGAATAAATTTGAAAATTCGTGAAAAAAGTACCAAATAGTAATTTTAAGTTGTGTGGGTTACTTTCAGGTTAGTTTTATTAAAAAACTGACTACGCCATTCGCTTTATATACATATATGATTGTATAACATTTGTTTTTCTTAGGGAAAGATGAATGTTTTTCTATAAGTATCTGAACCTATAGTAAACTAGTCTTTTAAATCGCGGATTTCAGAGTAGGTCATTAAGTTTTTGCAATACTATTTTTTTTTCTATTTTGTTAAGGTTTTAGCGTCCTATTTTCACATTCTGCTGCCGGAGGGAAGATCTGAAATACTCTAGTAAAATGTATCGATAAAATAAGGAATCTAATATACATACATCATTTACTAATAGTAATAATAATAATATTTTGGCGCTTACACCTTTTGCTAAGTGTTTGGCCGAGCATTCCCTATAACCACTCGGCTGCAGCGGATGCACATTTTGGACCATATAAATTTTTATACATAAATTAAGGGATAATAACACAGGTCCACAAAAAAAACTCGATGAAAGGTTACTTTGACCAAACCTAGTCTGGTATATGTTTTTGGGGTCGCTGAACACGAATCTGAGGTCCGTTTTGCTCCATCACGTCTGGATTTTTTTAACATCATAAAACATCTCGGATTTTACGTGACAGAGAAATCCGAGGTGTTTTTGAGGTTACGAAAAAATCTAGACGTGATGGAGCAAAACGGACTTCAGATTCGTGTTCGGCGACCCCAAAACATATAGCAGACTAGGTTTGGTCAAAGAAACCTTTCATCGATTTTTCTTAGTGGACCTGTGTAATTTTTATGAGATAACTTGGTGTTGAAGCCCAACTTACCTATTTACGAAGAGTGTCGCTTGGCCATTGCGAGTATAGCTACTATCAAATCTTCCACCAGGTTCTATGAGTGTGCCGTCGAAATAGTATGTCATCTTGGGCTTTGGGTATCCATAAACAAACCACATTAGTTCAACGTTATGAGATTTCACNATCTTGGGCTTTGGGTATCCATAAACAAACCACATTAGTTCAACGTTATGGGATTTAATTCCATACAGGGAATCGTTTTCTCGGCGCAAAAATCTGTTTTAATTATTGGTGTACGTAATTAATATTATTTATGTATGCACAATAAAACCGGTAATAACTTACTGTGGAGCTTGTGCAAGTCCATCATGGGGAGGACGCTCGATATCAAAGTCCTTTGGGAAATAAGGAGACGTTTCAGGTCTAAAATCTACACCAGGCGCTAAGTATGTGTAGGTTTTCTTTTCCTCTGGTACTATTTTTTGTCTACAAAAGGAATATATTTAAATAAACGTATTATTGAAAAATTCAACAACAATGCGAATCTATAGATACATAGTATAAATAGAGTTGCCATATTTTTATTGCGCGGAATCAGTACCTTAGACTTTTTCATGCTATAAAAACCAATACTTTTCAATACAGTTTTATTCAAAGAAAAATTGTGAATGTAAGTAACAGAAAATACTTCAAAACTCCAGAGTATGTACTTGTTTTTAACAATATTTGGGTAATAAATAAAATGTAGTTCGTAAAGAAGTAAAGAAGTATATGTTCGGCCGAAACCGAACTTTATATACCCGGCGCACGTTTTAAATATCGTTTTTTCACCTTTCAGTAAACTGCATGATAAGCAAGAGTATTTTTCCCAATGTCAAACAGTTTCGATAATATGCTATGATATATTAAAATTCTTGGACCAAGTTTGGTGGAAATTATAGGGCTGCATGTATTCATTTAAAACGATTTTGGCTTAAATTTTTTTTGAATTTGAGTGAATACAGTATATTTTGCTTTGCTGGCTTTATGCTTAAGTGCACATTTGATATACCTACCCCGAAATTCTCCTCAGCGTCATTATTTTTAACATTTATAACTTAAAAATTGTGCAACTATTATCAATTATCAAAGAAAGTATTAAGTTTACCTGCACTGGCTCTACACTTACCCTAATTTGACAAGCTTTTATTTTTCTCATCTCGAAGAACAACAATGTTCAAACGAAGTCGAAATAAATTGAATTGAAATAAATGATAATTTTTTGTATGAGTATTCAAAAATATTTCGTTTATGTACATACCCGGTAGAACTTGGGAGCATCGTACGATTGCTCCGTGAGTACTCCCTTGGGAGTTTACGAATACTCCCCATTGCTTCCTATGCCTCTGTAGCATGTAATTTTGTATACTCCCTTTAAATACTCCCAGAAACCTCCCAAAAAGACCACAAGGGAGTGCACGAAGAAAACCCTCCCACATTCCTCCCGAACGAGAAATAAGAGCGTTTCTATACTGCAAAACTCCTCATTATGGAGTAATAGGAGACTACTCCCCCATTGCTCCATAGCGAGCATTTTACATAACCCTCCAGTACTGCTGGAGTCAATCGCTACTTTTGAACCGCTACTGTACCGACTCCTAGGTAAGTAGCTACTCTATTAACCCGTGGTAGTGCCATGGTAGTGCAAAGTCGAGCCGGTCGGAAGCAGAATAGCGAAAAAGATAAAGATAAAGATAAAGATAAAGATAAAGATAAAGATAAAG